AAAATATTACATTTCTAGTATTTTAGAATAATAGCTTCAATGTAATGTAAACTAGTTTTGGATAACCAAACTAAATCAAAATTATTCATCAAATTTATATACTTTTTTAACTAAAAGCTATTTGAATATTACATAAAATCAATTTTTAATAGCAACAAATTTACTAAATTAGTGCATCTTAATATGAAATTAAAAAAATTTAACTAATCAGGTCTGTTTAAAAGTTTATATTATAAAAACTAAAATATTAAATTTATATGATCTTAATTAAAATTGATAGAAAGTTTATTTGCAAATTGCAAACATTATACATACAGTATATATTTAATAATAATGTAGGCATAAACCATTTCTAATAATAATCACATTGTAATCATATAAAATCATATGATCAATTGTAAACAAGAAAATTTGGACCCACCCAAGCTTTTTTATTAATATACTAAAGTGGATTTTTTTAAAAGATACAAAGTTCAAGATTTCACTGCTATAAATAAAAAACTCCAAAGTATATAATACTAAATTTTGAAGATTAATTATAATTTTAAAAGGTTTTATTAGAACTGAATTTTTGTCGTCTATGTAAATTTTTTTGCGCAATGTAAATCATCTGAAAAATGATCTACGAATCAAATTTCAAGATTAAGTGTAACGTAACACGATCAGGAAATTTTAAAACAACGTTCAGTTTATTGAGCGATTTACTATATGACCATCCAACCTTTAATCTTATTCTAAATGCTAACTCAAACACTAACGAATTTTAGAGAATCTATGCTGCGCACAAACCTGACACACATTTCAGACATGCATATTTAATAATGATCTTTGTTGATAATGAAGAACTAATTTTCAACTTAGCTGTTGACTTTTTAAAAATTGGCTGATCAACTTAATTAACACCAGCTTTAGATTATTAGAAAGTTTCTTTGTACATACAAGAGTCATATTTTTGTGTGCCATCAAATATCAAATATACATATTAAGAATATGTATTCAAATACACATCATTCTGGTTATATCGACATTTTTGAGACATTAGTAAAAATTTTCAAAATTTTGATACCCTTCAACATTCAAATAAAAAAATAATCTCATGAACATTTTTTTGATTTTAACATTTTAAATTCTCATCACGGCGCGTTTATAAAATCCCTCTAAATTTTGAAAATGTTAACTACTGTATTATCATATCTTCAGGTTAGGACGCACCATTATATGTAAAATTCTATGCTTAACGAGATGCATCAAGATGGGTTAGATAGTGGGAAGATGTGTTAGACATATTATTCGGTATAGATCAGGTACCAAAAAGTTTTTGGTGTTCATTGATATGTAATTTGGTAACAAAAAATTTAAATTGAAGACGAAGACTTAGATTTAGGGACTAAATTTATAGCTTAATTTTACAAATGATAAGATGTCGATGTTCTAAACTCAAGAATCATTGATATCGGGTTGGTTTCATTCTAACGAATATGTAATAATTATTCCTTGAGTAATTGGTATAAATGAAAATTTACTGGTGATGTAGAACAAAAATATCAGTAGCATAAGCAGCCTATATTTTACCAATTAATTTTACTTATATCTATATAACTGATTTATGTCTTCCATCCACTTAACATTAACCTTTATGTGCATATTTTTAAAATTATGAATTGTCTTTGACATTATAGCGCTTTTCAAATTACTGTGACCACTCGATAATCGTCCATTACAAAGGAATCTGAAATTTTTCATGAATAAATCTAACTGAAAAATTAAGATTCTTCGTTATATTTCGATTCTTTAGCATTATATGCGGGTTGCCAGGCTAAATAAAAAAAAGAGAAAATGGAATCTTTATATTATTATTTTGTAAGGCTAACTACCACTTTTAGTATACTACAAGAGATAATGGGGATCTTGAAAATTTTATTTCCAGATAAATTATTCATAAAAAGTGAAGTGGACATTGCAAAGAGCATCTGCTAATGCCTTTCCTCCTTCTGATCCAAGATTATTCCAACTAAGAATTAAAGAAGTTAAAGTGGTATTCTTGCAAAGAGCATCTGCCAATGCTTTTCCTATTTCCGATCCAAATTGATTCCAACGAAGACGTAAAGAAGTCAGCGAGGTGTTCTTGCAAAGGGCTTCTGCTAATGCTTTTCCTCCTTCAAATCCAAGGTCATTACCACTGAGACCCAAAGCTTTTAATGTGGTATTCACACAAAGTGCATTAGCTAATGCCTTTCCTCCTTCGGATCTAAGATTATTCCTATAAAGATCCAAATAAGTTAAAGTGGTATTCTTGCAAAGTGCGTCTGCTAATGCTTTCCCCGCTCCTGATCCAATATTATTACCTTGAAGATCTAAAAAATTCAGCGTGGTGTTCTTGCAAAGTGCGTTTGCTAATGCTTTTCCTCCTTCCACTCCAAGTTTATTCAATTGAAGATTCAAAGATTTAATCGAGATATTTTTGCAAAGTGCATTTGATAATGCATTTCCGACGTCTGATCCAAGATTATTACTACTAAGATCTAAAGAAGTCAACGTTGCGTTATTACAAAGTGCATCAGCCAATGCTTTTCCTCCTTCTGATCCAAGATTATTACTACCAATGACCAAAGAAGTCAGCGTGAAGTTCTTGCAAAGTGCATCTGCTAATGCTTTTCCAACGTCTGGTCCAAGATCATTACCACTAAGACTCAAGTCTCTCAATGTGATGTTCTTGCAGAGCGCACCAGAAAATGCTTTTCCTCCTTCTGATCCAAGATTATTATAACTAAGATTCAAAGAAAGTAGCGTGGTGTTCTCGCAAAGTGCGTCTGCTAATGCATTTTTCTCTTCTGATCCAAGATTATTATATTGGAGATTCAAAGAAAGTAGTGTGGTATTCTTGCAAAGTGCACCTGTTAACGTTGTTTTATTAATAGTATCGTCAAGTGTTAAATATTTAAGATTTTTACTTGCTCGCAGAAACATTGAAACTAAAGAGCATTTGATAGCAATTGAAAGTTTATCTATTTTGAAATATTTTACATTATATCCTTCATTTTTAAGCCAATTTCTGACACCATTATCCAAATAAGTACCAACAGATGTAGTATAAAATTCGTACTGAAATAATGGCTTTGGATAATTTGGAAGAATAATTTTAAAGGGGATTAATAAAGCTTGCTCTTCAGTAGTTAATGCTAAAAGATATATTCTTATAAGTCTTTTATCACTAAAATAATTTGTGGGTTCACTCCATAGTATCGGTATAATAATTCTGCACCATTGTCGGTTTACAAGAAGGCATGAAAATAAGTTTTTATGATGAGTTCGAAAATTATTGAATACTTCGAAAAGACATTCATTTGGTAACATTATCATTTGGAAAGGATTATGAATTTAGTACGTATGATGGTAATAAATCAGATTTTGCCTCCATTATATAACCAATGGAAAATGTCGTGAAACGTTGTGATCTAACAGGTTTTTTTTTTATTGTGATCGACAGAATCAATTTTCTCTCATGAAACAGCTTTTCGTGCCCTCCGATGATTTTGACATACTGTAACTCTTGCTTTAAATTCATCCAACCCTCAAGTTAACTTTAACCTCAAAACTAGCTTAACGCAGGCCGATGTCAATCAACTAGGCTTTAATGATCTAATATAACAAGATTTGTGTGAAAGTTTTAATTTAGAGAACGATAATTATATATTTAACTGGTGAATCAAATGCAAAAATCTCGAATGATAGACTAGGCAATGATAAACTTTTTAGAAAATTTTTTAGCATGAGACACCCAAACGATAATTGTAAATTTCTAATTTGTAATTAGACTTTTCCAAAAAATGTGACTAGGTGCAAACATTTTATTAAAATCATACTTTTAAATATGTTAGAAATGTGTCGAGAATAAATTTTAGAGATTATTGTAATCATCAGATGATCTCCAACCACACGGAAATTTTAAGGATCCTTTGAAATTTGGTGTTTTTTCACTAATTCTCATTTAAAAACTAATTCTAATAATTTTCAGAAAATTCTATAGTATAGAATTTGTTTATATATTAAATATTGTAGTTAGTTGATCAAGAAACAATAAATTTTTCAGTTTCTTCCCTAAATTTCTATAAACCTGAGTGAATGTATCTTGATAATATTTTATTTATGTTTATCGTTCAAAGCTATTTTTAAATTCTACAAACTAGTAGAATTAGAAAATGGTCTTAACATTGAGATTTACCAGTCTATGATTAAGAAATCTCCATTTGAGGTTTGAACAAATAGCCAATATCAGACTTTAGAATTCCTATAAAATACATATGCATCAAAATCGAATCGACCAAGGGTGTGTCACGACCTTTTGGGAGAGTAATTAATTTGATTAGCCCGTGAACATTAATTTTGGTTTATGGCGATCGTTAGTTATACTAAGACTGAAAAGAGATCTTTATTGTGGACCGGTACGTTAACTTGTTTTGTTAATCTAATTCAACAATCGATGTAAATTTACAACATAAGTATAATGCTGTGCAACTACTTAATCATTATTATAACGATAATATTACAAAATTATAATATCATAGTCTTGTAGTGTTACGGCAATCAGAAAACATGCCATAATCAATTCTACCTTCTGGTAAAATGTGTAATTCAGTAATTCTATCACAAACTATAAGTGAAAAGTATTTACGCGATATTTCAATGTGCATCAGCCATTCAACCATTATCAATTACTTAGTTTGGATACACCATAGAAAAGACAAAGAAATAATATATTTAAAAATGTTTTCAAAACTCGAAATTGAAAAAAATACTTATAAAATAGAAGAAATATAGTAAAATATAAGAGTCGATTCTATCAGTTACAATATATACTATACTGTTATACTATGTGTAATTTAAGTAAAATTTATGCAATATATAATCATTAGCAATTTGGTGGCCAGAATTGTTAAAGATACAGGAAACAACGTTCATAACATGAAAAGAGATAACTATTTTTAATGCTTTACAGAACACTATCTATTAAAAGACTCTACCAACTTATTAATAGGATTTTCATCGGAACAATCAAGCTCTTCTATATATTGATAGCCTAGCTCTAAAAGATCAGGAATACTTTTATGGTCATCAAATCCTATAGGCTCCTCAAAAAAGACTTGCCATCGTTGATAACGATTTTTTAAATTATTGTACATTTCACGATCTGTGTTGCTTTCTTGTGCAGATATCATGGATTGAGGAGGATTCGAAGGATCTGTTAAATAACATCCTGTACCTAGAGATAGCACAGAAATATTTTTCTCTGGCACATTATGTTTGATAGCCTCGCTGTAAGCCGCTGATGCTGGATTATTAAGATATATTCCTCCATCTATAAAAGTCTTATTACCAATTTTATAAGGCGGAAAAAACGTAGGTGCAGCTGTTGTTGCCATTAAGATGTCAACAAAAGTGTTATTTATCTCGATATTCCTGCTGTTTTTATAAGCATCATAACGGGTAAATAAATGTGTGTAGTTTTCATTGGCAGCTGGAATAACCAATTCAGTAAGAGATTGGTTTATTCTTGTTTCTTCAAAATATCGTTTAAAAATAGTAGAACGACCCTCATTAGTATACTTATCATATGCTTTGGACCATATAGGTATATTGAACCATGATGTTGATGTAGTGAATAAATTTTTGGATTCGTTCTTGTAAATGTTTAATAAATCTGAAGCTGAAAATCTTGGAATTAAATCTGAATATTCGTATTCAAAATAATCATCTGTTATTTTCTTACATTTAAACTGTGGTGCCGATAATCCAGCAGCAATAATCCCACTAGTCGATGTTCCAGCTATCATATTAAATAAGTGAGAAATGGGTCTACGAGTGCGATATTCTATTTCGCTCAGCCATAAAGCAGGCAATACCCCGCGTATTCCTCCTCCATCAATTGATAGAATATTGTAGACAGTGTGCTCATTATTGTGAGAATTTTTCAAATAATCTGTTTCATATATTAACTTTTTTTTATAACGATCAATTTTGTGTTCAACTATATTATTTATAATTAGTTTTTTGACAAGTTCTCTGTGTTTAGCAGCAGAATTATTTCCAGGATCCAATGTTAGAGCTTCAGAATTGCATGACATAGCATCTATATACTTTTTTTGTTTAAAATAAGCCACACTACGAAAATGCCAGTATTCTGATGAAGAATTTAATGCTGGGCATATATCAGAAAGTTTGATAACTTGTGTATATTTAGATAATTTTAATAAGCATTTTGCATATCCGATGGAATAAATTGGATTATCAGGGTTTATTTTACGTGCAATATTATAGTTTTCCTGAGCAGATTGCCAATAACGTAAACTATTTAACTTGTTAAATTTGGCTTCTTTTTCAGCTAAATGTTCAAAGTAAGCCGCTTCGTAATATTTACTCCCTTGGTTGAAAGAATTTTGGCCACTCAAGTAATTAATATATTTATCATCCGGTTCCGGAACAGAGTTGGTTGCAACGGGAAATGTGATTAATAAAGATACATCGGATACATCAGATAAATCTTCATCACTAATTATCCATAAAAAATCCTCCAAGACTTCTAAGCGTAAATTAGCTTTGCTAACAAATTGATAATTTTCTCTTACAGAATGTCGAGTATCTTCAACCGGTTTTATGGCCTCTTTAAGGGTGTCATAGTCATAATTTATTATGTTAAGGATTGCAATATTAATCCTTGCAAAATTACGTATTTCCTCCAATCTTGAAAAAAAGGGCATTTCTAGAGAATCTGGCAGATATTCTAGAGCCAGTCTTGTGCGTTCTTCTGATAATGTAAAATCTTTAATTGTACCGTAAGTACTTTTAAAATATCTCTCAAGGCTCCCCCGACTGGTTTGTCGCAATTTGCTGGTGCATTTATCCAGTTCTTTTGCCTCTTTCACAAGCTCGCTACTCAGTGCCAGTTGAAAAAATTTTTTTGCATCAGCTTTCAAAAATATATGCGGGACACCTTTGATTTTTATGTTTCCACTACCTAAAACTTCTCCAAGTACAACAAGTAGATATGCAATACCATCCGGTCTGAAACCATGTTTTTTAAGCGTACCTATTATATCTATTTCTAAAATACCAAGATTATTATAGTATTCTAAGAGGCGTTTGTTTTCATCATATTCCTCAGAAAGCACATTGATGAACTCTTGATATTTTCCATTATCATATGCACTTAACGCTCTATTTATGATTTCATTAAGTTTTTCTCGAATTATTGACTTTTTAAACAGAATTGCACCTAAATATGTTTTCGCGAGCTTAACACGAAAAATCTCATTATATAATGTTTGATGTTCCGTCTTAATAAACAAATTAGTAGCTATATTAAACAAACTTTTATTAATCGAATTTTGAATAATCCCTCTATTATAGAAAGAACCATTTGTTCTTATTAAAGCCATTGCATGATTAGGGTCACACACGAATTTAATATCAGTATTCGAGTTGGAAGATAATCCTTTTTCACTTTTTTCACCCTCTTTTTTCCTTCTATTAACTTTATCAAGTATGTTTTTTGCTTCATCCAATTCTTGCGTGAAATTACTTAGACTCTTAAGGTGTAAAATAATTGCTACTAAAGCATATAAGCGAGCTTCTAGAAATTTGTCTGTGAAATATAAGCACAAAGCCATATATCCTCTCAGTTTTACCTGTTTTTTTAGCAGTTTAGCTCTATCTGCAACTTTGCATGCTGCTCGATATTGATGGTAAGCCAACTCTCCCATAGTTATGCTATTATGCTTTAATAATTCGGAAGAGAGCTCTTTGATATCATCTTTCTTTAAGATTTTTAGTTTATTCCATTTTCCCTTTGATGCGTTATTATAATCAATAGCAGTTTTCCAAAGTTCATTTCCATATTTTTCATAGTCCTCTAGTTCCAAGGTTTTTTTCAACTTATTCAATAAATGTTCTTTGAACGTTAAAATAAGTTTAAACAACTCATCGCCTTGACTTTTATGTTTTTCTTGAAGTACATATGGACTGTTTAGATGTTTTGTTCTATCTGGATGAAAAAATGAATTAAGAACTCTTGCGCGTCTTTTGATCCCTTCTTCTGTATTTATAATATTTTTAAATAATATTTCTATTTTATCTGAAGAATTCGATAAAAATGAAATGAATTCAATTCTTTTTGAATATGCTACGTCATGTGCAAATAATTCTAAACATCTCAAATAATCTATCAACTCTTTACTAACAGTTTGAATTTTTGAAGACTTGAGTCCTTCATTATTGTCATTAGCTTTTAAAGTGATTAGCTTTTTATTAATCAAACTATTCGCTAACCTATGCATATAGATCTCGCAATTTATTGCTTCTTGATAACCTTCAAAGGTTTCAGTTATCCTATCAAAATTTTCAAAAATCTGTTTTATCTCACTAATAAGTGTATTCACCACATTAATATCAATCAATTCATCTTCTAAAATTGAACGAATCTTGTTTAATTTTTCTAAAATCTTGTCTTTAAGATGACAATCTTGATTGACAGCAACTGATTCTACAAAATCCACATACAATACGGGTTGTATTTCCTCGATACGATGTCTTTCGTATCTTCTTGCTAATATTTCTTGTCTATTAGCGCCTTCCACATCACCAATCGCGTTTAAATAGCTATTATAAGTCGTATGATATTTGTATCTATATAATTCATACTGATTCTCATTATCAGCTCCTATTTCGTTAATTAATACTATTATCTCTCTAAATTTTTGTTCGATTTCGGAATGATTTGTAATGTTATTGTCAAATTGAAATCTAATTAAAGTGTCTATATATAAAAAATAATTATCAATTTGAGAAACCATTTTGTTTTATTTTCTATCATTAGAAATTATTATATCTTTTTAACGTTATGAACAAAATATTGTTGAGCTGTAAATTATTTTTATTTTGCGGACCTATTCAATCCGATTTTATTATCATTATTGCATGCTTACTATTGTAATTTATTATATTGACATATGCAAACACATCGGAATCCTTACTCGATTGAACTAATTTATAAGCTCTATTCCTAAATTTGCCAAGTTAGTATACTTGCACAGACTAATACAATACACTTACAATAAGTAACTGAAAATATTAATAACGGTAAAGTAAGATTATCCAATTGTACCTCAATATGGAATAAAGTGCATGGAAGTGCTTATTCTTAGACTGTCTGTTTCTTTATTGTCGTTTGGCAAAATAATCCAGTTACACCTCATTATGGTATAATTAAAATACACCGAAGTGCTTATTTTCAGATTGGTCTGGTTTCTTTGTTTCATTATTATTATCTTTTGATCAAAGTTAATTTAATTACTGCATATTGAGGCTTTTCTAATCACCTAAATTCTTTTCAGGTTATGTGGCATAATGCAAGGTAAACTCTAGAAGCATCGTGCTGTATTTGTTTGAATGATTGTACTGTACAAAATCCAAGTATATAACATTATATAACATTATGTAACATTACATAAAAACTGTAGTAAAGAATACGGGACCCCATCATGTGAAATCATGCAATGACGTCATTTGTTTACCAGCACTAATAATCGGCCGCCTAAACTAAAATATCACCTAACTCTAACACTGTTTGCTCACGTGATGTGGCAAAACTTCCCAAATTTTTATTAAGAGAAATAGTAAAAATATTGAATAGACCCTTGTTCTATTTTAAGGACATTTGATTAGAGATGAGCATCAAGCACCTTATTATGGCATGGTGCTTGAAGCATTGTATTATTTTTGCTCGACCAGATGACTTTCCTAAAACAATGATATTGGAGCTAGTCAGTCATGCATCCACTTCCAACGTGCCCGTAATACAAGACCGACAGTCATTTTACCAGCATCACATGACGTGAAAATTTAGCATGTTATTGGTTTTAGCATATGTAAATTGTCACGTTAAGTGATGCTGGTTGGCTTGTCGGTAAATAAACTCGTAATTTATTATGTTAATGATCCGATTAATGATCTTGACTCAAATAATCAATTTTCTTTTTTCATATTTACACAGCACCTTAGCATTCTTGAAAAATTTCAGGGGTACTATATGCAGCGCTATACGTTACTATCCGTGCTATAAAAACGCATAATAAGCAATAAATAATAGATATTTTCTTGTTCTTATTGTTTAATAACCAGATGTTTCATAGGAATATCTCATTAATCCTCTTGGAAAATGAATGCTTTATGTCTTTGAAAAACATATTTATCTGTTATAAGACTTTTATATTTATTGTTGCGAATGCTGCTGAAATTTGGGGTCTGATTTGAAATTTTAAGCACAACAAAACTCCACATATACACTTTATTTATCAATTCTAGCCCAAAATTCTTACTCAATCATGAAAAAAATACGTCCAAAAAATTTAAAATTTCATATCAAAATAGATACAAATTTCAGCATCAGCCGTGACATTTACTAAAAATTATTAATTATAAATAATTTAAACTCAAGGAAATTCAAATTCTCTTATTATAGAAGCTGAACGAATATGGTGGGAGACATCTTATATTAAACATCAATTGATTATACAAATAATGAATTCAACTATTTGACAAGTATAATATAGCTGAAGTGGATGTTGCAGATGCTAAAGAAATTAGAATTATAGAGAATAAAAAACTCTTCACACTTATTAATTGTAATCACATAAAAATTATTGGACATATGTCGAATACAAATAATATATTAAATATTGTACTCGAAAAAAATCTTAAATAATGTCGCGGATGATGCTGAAATTTGGGTCTCAATTTGAGATATAAGCCCTACCAAATCCACCTAACTATTTCATTAATAACTTTAACCTTAAATCCTAACCTAATTATGAAAAAAAAAGCCGACAAAAAAGGCCCAAAAATTTTTAGAAATCGTACGTACAGAAATAGATTCATATTTCAACATCATCCATGACAATTAATATCCTTACGGAGGGTCTTTTAATTACATTATTAATGAAAGACAAGGCACTTTCCAGATGATAGTACCTTTAAAGCTTATTTGTAGTAAGACATGTTAGCGATGCATGGACCGATAGAGAATCATGATGAATTTGATAGTGTGAGGCCCGATAACGTGACGTAAATACTCTGCCGGGACCTCACGTGAGAACGGGTACGACGATCAATTCCTC